CTAGTTTTAGGAAAGACTTCCATACTTGGCCTTTCACATTTTGTCCCTCACTGTTCTCTATATTCTAACCAAACTGAACAATTTTGTTCCCTTAAGACACCCTACATTTTCCTGTGCTATTTCTACTACTTGGAATGTTACCTTGATGAAACCCTTCCCAAACAGATGTGATTTTTCCTTCCTTTGTAATATTTGTAAACTATTCATAATATTTTGTACCACTTATATAACTTAGCCCATTTGGTCTTGTATTATAGATATCTGTACTTCCCCATACTCCATGACTATTCAAACCACAGAACTCACTTCAAGGTGGACTTAATTTCATGACAATGTCTAACATTCAGCACTTAAGTATTATTACAGTGTTGACATATTTTCATTTCTTTCACAATGCCTTTACATATAGTATACACAAATACATATATCTTTTTTGTTTTTATGTGGATGGAATCACAAGGTATGTATTCTTCTGTTGTCTTTTTTTTCCCCCCTTAACGTGAAAATCTTTCATGTTTATATATGTAAGCACCTCATTTTTAATGGCCACATAATATTCTGTAAAATGGATGTTACTTTATTTAGTCACTGGTGGACATATTAGGAAGCTTTTAAATATTTGCTACTACATATAATGCTTCAATGTATATATGAGCACACTTGTACAGATACACCAAAAAGATAGCTTCCTAGAAATGGAGTTACTAGATCTGAAGGTCTGTACATTTTTAACTTGTTAGTGCCAAATTGCCTTCCATTTATAAAATTTTTATTTCCACCAGTAGTACATGAAAAAGTGCCCATTTCCATGTCTGCATTGTATAATCAGCCATTTAATTTTTGCTGATCTGTTGCACAAAGTGCTCTCACTTTAATTTACATTTCCCTGCTCACTAGTGAGGTTAAATGTCTTTTCATATATTGGCTATTTATATTTCTTCTCTGAGAATTGCCTATTTTTATCTCTTTATCAGTTTTTCTTCTAGGTTGTCTTTTTCTTGGTGATTTGTATCACTTTTTTTTTTTTTAATAGACTCTGGATGTTAATCCTTTTCACATACATTACAAATACCTATTCCCAGTTTGACATTTGTTCTTTAACTTTTCTTTATGGTATTTTAATTTTTAATTTTTAGGTAGTCAAATCTTTAGTCTTTTTATTTATGAATCTTCTCAATTCTGTGCCTTAATTAGAAAGGCCTTTTCAATTCTAAAATAATAAAAATGTTTTCTTCTGATAGATTATTTTTATTTCTGGATTTTCTTCTATGTCCACCATCTTTTTAATTTATTCTTTTCTCACAATTTTGTTCTTTGCATTATGAACTTTAGAGTCAACTTGGGGATTCCATTATTATTTTTTTTTTTTTAATCTTGTTGGGAGTTTTGTTTGGATTGCATTTGATTTATGGATTACTTGGGGAGAATGGACATATTTGCAATATTGAATCTACCATTTTGGGCCCTTTAGTATGTGTCTTCTGTTTAATAATTTTCTTTCTCCTATTATAAAGTTTTATAGCTTTTCCTCTAGATCCTGTACCTTTTTTGTTAGATTTCTTCCTAGGTATTTTATAGGTTTTATTGCCACTGTGACTAGGATCCTTTTTTCTATTGTCTTTCCTTCTAGATAATAAAGCTATTAATTTTTATATATTTATTCCTGACCACCTTATTATATTAGTCTTAATAATTTTTCAGGGTTTTTTTTGTTTTTGTTTTTTATTTTCTAAGTATACAATTATATTACCTGCAAAAACAATGACAGGTTTCTTTTTTTTTTCTTCATTTATTCTTCATTTCTTTTTATTGTCTTTACTGAATGGTTAGGGATCTCCAGGACATTATTTTAGGGTGGTTATAATAGGAGGCATTTTTCTCTTGTTCTTAGCTTTAGGAGTAACAATTCCGTAGATTTTAAATTAAATTTGATGCTTGCTGTGGATATCTGAGAGAGTCATTTTGTCAGATTAATAAAACTTCTGTTTTTCACTTAGTGAGGATTTTTATCAAAACTCAGTTTTATGGGCCGGCCCGGTGGTGCACTCGGTAGAGTGCGGCGCTTGAGAGCGTGGCGGCGCTCCCGCTGAGGGTTCGGATCCCATATAGAGACCGGTCCGCTCATGATTGAGCACAGTGCAGGTGCAACACCGAGGGTTGCGATTCCGTTGCCAGTCGCGGTACGGGCGCAACACCGAGGGTTGCGATCCCGTTACCGGTCACGAAAAAAGACAAAAAGGAAAAAAACAAAACAAAACTCAGTTTTATATGGTATCAAATGGGGTTTTTTGGGTGGTTTTTTGTGTGTGTGTGTGTGTGTGTGGCTGTATGGTACAGGGGTCCTGATCAAATGCTTTTTTCACATCTATTGAGATAATCACTTTTTCTTTTAATCTGTTACTACAATAAATTATCTTGAATATTTTTTTCTTTTTTCTTTTTTTTTTTTTTGTCTTTTTGTCCTTTTTCGTGCCTGGCAACGGATCGCAACCCTCAGTGTCGCGCCTGTACCGGACTGGGACCGGCCACGGGATCGCAACCCTCGGTGTTGCCCCCGCTCCCCGCTCAGCCAGTGAGCAGCCGGTCTGTATGTGGGATCCAAACCCTCGGCGGGAGCGCCGCCGCGCTTCCCAAGCGGCGCACTGTAGCAGTGCGCCACCGGGCCGGCCCTTGAATATTTTTTTCCTTTTTACTATTTGCTTTGTTGGGGTAAACACTACTTGGTCATGATGTGTTCTTTTTAGTATCCTTACTACTACATTTGGTTTTTACTTATGTTTCTCCTTGCTGTGTAATACTTTATATACTTGGGAATTAAGTGTACCTTGAAGATTTCATAATGTACACTCGTAAAATTATCTGAATCTGGTGGCTTTAAGAGTTGGAATTTTGATTGCCTTTTTGACTTTAACTGTCATATTCAAGGGCTGTTAATATCCTAGCCACTTTTCTCTGATCTTGAGCAAATTACTAACTTCATCGAATCTCAGTTTTATTAATGGCAAATGCAGATAACAAAGTCTAACTCCTAGTAATGCTGGAAGGTTTAAATGAGATAATATATGATTATTGAGCATAGTTTTGTCTCACATAAGGTAAACGCTCATCAATAATTACCACTATTATTATTGTTATTCCCTCAAGTAGATTACTATACTTACCTTAATCATCCCCAACTGTTGCACAGTGTGATTGTAAACTCCACACTAGATAGAGAGAAGATACAAAGATAAGCAAATGATCCAGCGAACAGTGGTAGGCATCATCTCCACCTGACACACCCCTCAGTGGGTCAAGATCTCTCTCTGAACTAGAGTTTTTTCCTGCAGTGCCGTGTCTCAGCAGACCTACCCAGGGGCTGGGATGTGATACTTCTGTTGTATGAGGGAGTTGTGTGCACCTTGAACACCCCTGCCCTACCTGGAGCTGGTGCTCCACATTGGGAATGCTTATTTATGTTAACTTGAATGGAAAGGTAACTTTTTTAAAAAGGCATTTGAAAAGTCAGGATTGGGCTGGCTCGTTGGCTTAGTTGGTTAGAATGTGGTGAAGGGTTCAGGTCCCCATATAGTCCAGCTACCAAAACCAAAAAAATCAGGATCATAATGTACACAGCTATAGAAAGGCAGTCTTTACGTGATTGGTTCCAAGAACATTCTATGAATTTTGTTTTGTTTTTTTAGGAAATACTTTGATGTTTTGTCTCTGTCTTTTTGAAAGGAGCATAAAATGCTAGGCTAAGATAAATGTATAAAGTAGAAAATGGAGACTTGTTGCATTCTCATCAGCAAGCAGAATATGGTTTTTTCCAGTCTTTACTACAAAATCCTTCATCTGATATTTAAAATGTATTTATGTTGAGTCATTTCTTTCTCTTTTGCTGGTGAACCAGAAGATCATGAAATGATTCTGCAGAGGCGGTAGCATTACGTTCAGTTTCTTTTTTTGTATATATCAGATAAGAGGCCTGCAAATGGAAGTAAGTCCACCTCACATCCTTTGTATGGTGGTGGCAGTGATGTTTGCCTTTTTATCACTGGTGCAACATTAACTTATAAACCCGCTTCTAAAGAACCTAAGGGCTTTTTGATGAAAGGTGACTGTAGTAGGTATAATGTTAGATTTGTCTAGGCTACTTTTGTTTTTACAAATTCTTCTTTTCTCCTTTTTAGTGTTTAGAAACTACTACCTTAAAAGGGAGTTGGGAGTAGAGACCTGCCAGGACCAAATAGAAGTTAATGTACATATTTAGAATTAGGATTTCTGAATCTATGATTAGGAAGGCAAAAATAATATTTTGAGGTTCAGCTCAGCTTAACAGTCTAAATCGCCCTCTCTGAACCAAAACTTCTGGTTGGTAAACATTTTATAGATCTGAGGAATAAAAGCAGTATAAGAGGCTGACTTTTGGTAAACCTTAATAGTAATGGAAAAGAAGTACAAGGCAGCAGTTCCACAGATTTGCTTTGCTCATTTCCCCATAGACTTAGGGCCCCTTGACTAGCCATACACCCTCTCCCCAACTCACTGTCGTCCATTCGGCAGGTCTCTCTGTAACCAGCAGGCATCAATTCAAGCAGTCCCTCCAAGAACTTATCGTGGCCTCAGAAAAAAGTCTACTAAAAGATTATGTTTTCTGAAACTTTCACATTATTTATTTAAATGTTTACTTGAAGAAATATATGTTGTATCATATAGAGAGTGAAAATGGAGAAGGGTAAGGACCCTGAAACACTGGAAATATGCTTGTCAGTTTTCAGTACTAGCCAAGCAGCAAGGATTTGGTTCTGTTTATTTTCTCCAGCTCTTACTATATTAAATTATCGTTGAAAATACTGGGGAAGTTATTTTATGATACTATGAAGTTATTTATATTATTATATACATTATATATTTTAATGTATACTATTACATATTATATTATATATCTTTTATGTATAATATATTTTATTATCATTGTGTTATTTTTTCCATTAATTACCAATGGCTTCTTTTGCCAGAGCCATAATGAAATTTCACAGTATGAAAATGGAAGAAATCAATAAAATTATTCGTGATCTTTGGCGAAGTACCTATCGTGGACAAGGTAATGAACATGGTGTATTGCAAATGCTCTTTCCAAAGTCCTGTCCACAGCTCTTGCTCATATGACCTCTCATCATGCCAGTATTACCTCCCTGAATCCCTTTCTGAGCATTTCTTTGGGATTTTCTAAGAATTCTTACCTTAACAATTCTTATCTTCTTATAGCAAGAAGAATATGCAAAATTTTCTATTGCAAAGCCTGACAGATCTTACACATTTGACTGCAGTAGATATTATCTTTAGCTGATGACAATAGGTTCTTTTGAAGTGTAGATAGGGATAAACCAAATGCAATAAGAAGAAAACCATCCCAAAGAAACTCTTAACAGGGGAACTAAAAAAGAGCTGAGGCTGAGGGTTGGTGCATCTGGGTTGCTTCTGGCCAGACCACTAGGCTCCTGAATCCTCCCAGCCAGAGAAACAGTTTCTAAACCAGCCATTGTTTTCGTCTGGTAATGTCAGCCTCACATGTTGCTCTGAGGCTTACTTGGTAATGTCTGTAAATGACAAAAGGTTGAGTGTAGGTTCCTCTGAACTATTCTTCTTTCTGTGTCAGATATTGAATATATAGAAATTCGGTCTGATGCTGATGAAAATGTATCAGCTTCTGATAAAAGGCGGAATTATAACTATCGAGTCGTGATGTTAAAGGGAGACACAGCCTTAGATATGCGAGGACGATGCAGTGCTGGACAAAAGGTAGGTATCTCAAAGAGTCTAGGGAGCCAACTTACACAAATAAATGAAAGACAGAAACAAATATCAGTGCAGTGGAAGCACCCAGTGCTGTCCTCGAATGGTGGGAAGTTCCTTACAGCACTCCTTGCTGCATGTAAAGTGAATCAGGCTCAGCTACCATCATTATACTCTCCTAATGCTAGCCAGCATTTCCTGAAACATATGTAAAGTTGACTTTTAAGAGAGGGGCCTGAAGCATTCTCACAAGACAGGCTAAATGCAGAACACGTAGGGGAAGACCCTTTATTGTTTTACAACACTCCTTATCAAAATAAGGTCACTGGATCATCAATTATAAGACACACTACTATTTTATGTGCCACCAAGAAAGAAAATGTAATTATAACTGTAAGATGCATTTTGATTTCAAAGAAGTCAAAATGGGGAGATGGGGTATATATTGCAGAATCAATGACATTACAGTATTAACAAACGAGATCCTAGGTTGAGCCACACGAGGCATTCCAACATATAAGACCTTCTCACTAAGAAAGTAGCTCCCTCATAATATTGATTCCCCACCACCAACCCAGCCTAGTCTTTGGTCCTACAGATCATCTAAAAAAAAGGGTCTGCCAGAGCCAATAGCTTTGATACCCACAGGTTCCTCTGCCCCCACCACTGCACACACAAAGACTCAGCTGCTGGGTCAGGCCAGCTGCTCCATGTGAAACTCTGGGAGGACAGGCTAGGTTGATTATGGAGCACGGAGTAAAATGAGAAAGAGGAATGAAGTTTTAAAGATTCAGGAAAATGGGACCTGCATCCCTGGGAACAAGGATAAGTCTTATTATTGTGCATAGCTATGTACCAAAGATGTCACAGATTCTTGAGTGTTCTCCTTTCAGATTAGAAACAGAAGATTACATTTGATAATACCTCAACCCCTCATTTTAGTTTTCTGTTCTTTTCTCTCTTTTTTTGGTGGCTGGCTGGTAAAGGGATCCATACCCTTGACCTTGGTGTTATAAGGTCATGCTGTAACCAGCTGAGCTGACTGGCCAGCCCTGATTTTCTTAATAAAATTCGTAAATACTAGAAATGGGTGCCCACATTATCTGAGTTATTTTCATAGTTTTCAGTTTTTGCTTAAAGAACATGCCATGCATGTATGTATTATGTTTTCAGCCCAAACATAAGGCTTCTGCAGATTGCTATCTAAATCATAGTCTGTAAAAATGAAAAATTTGTGATCTATAATCAGTGTCCCTACTAGCTGTGGTGATTTCTAGTGGTAGTTATAAATGAGAAAATATAGAATTTGAAACATGGGCTCTTTGGATTAAAAGCATATTTCCTGTAGCCACTCTAAGTTATGAAAATTAATTAGCAGTAATTGCTTCCTTGGTGTGGGGTGAGAGGACACACAAATAGATGGTTTGGTTGAAGTGGATCTCTACCCTGCCTGACACTGGTTTTTGCTGAGGTCCTAGAGGCCAGCCAGTGGCTCTGCATGTGAGTGGGTGATAGTAGACTTGACAGCAGTGAGATTCAGAGACAGGAAGGAAGTGCTTGTCCCCCAAAGAGCCAAGCTGTGACCCTGGCTTCTGCAATCTGCTGGCCTTCCCTGGGCATCAAAGATGTAAACTATTCTAAAATCACCAATTTGTTCACTGATGCTTTCCCACTCACAAATTCAGAGGGAGAGGGGATTTACAGCTCACACAGAAGTAGTTTGTACTTCCCAGAATAGTCCTACACTCATAATTCTGGCTTTATACCTTCAGATGGCTTAACTTGGGTCTGAAGGTTTTAGCATTAGGTTTTTTTTAACCATGAAAGTGCCTAATAGTTTCAGTTACTTGTATTACCTACAGGTTAGCTTAAATAAAACCATATCACTATACTGCTGATAAATGATTTTTCTCTCTCTTTTTTTTTCTCTCATTCAAAGTTATACACTCAAACATTTAAGTGTGGATTAGAGCACAATATCTGGTGCCTCTTTTGAACCACAGAACATGGAGATTTAAAGATGATTCTAAGAGATAAAAGGTCTCTGAGTCTCTGGAAGATGTAATGTGTCTGAATTTTCTAACAAATCTCATTATCAGGAAAAAAAAATAGCCAAGTCAAGAATTTTTGAGATTATTAATTTTATACCTTTACTAAAATTATTACAGACAAATGGGAAAGCATGTCTGTTTCAAGCCCATGATTTCAGTTTTTGTTATAGCTGATGTGGGTTTGTGTGTATGTGCGATCAGCATTGCTTTTAGCATTTTATTTCATTGCAAATGATGGGCTGAGATAATGCAGGCCTATGGGTCACCTTCTGAAGGTCTTAAGAATCTGGTTACAGTGCTGGCCTCTCCCATACAGCAGTGATTTACCTAAGGTCACTGACTCTGTGACATTCCCCCACCTTTCCCTTCTAAAGAGATCATGCCACAAGGTCCAGAGTTTGATCCCTGTACTGGCCAGCCACCATTTAAAAGAAAAAAAATCACACCAGGTCTGCTTGCCTCCTGGTTGGGATGAGAAGCAGGTCAGTGCTATGCTTTTTTCCAGGTTTTAGCCTCTCTCATTATTCGCCTGGCCCTAGCCGAAACGTTCTGCCTGAACTGTGGCATCCTTGCCTTGGATGAGCCAACAACAAATCTTGACCGAGAAAACATTGAATCTCTCGCACACGCTCTGGTTGAGTAAGTATCTTACTTTGGGAGGCAGGTTGTGATTGTTTTTTAGGCAAGGTTAAGAGAGTTCTGTGGTGAACACCCTCTCTGGATATGTCCATGGGGAAGCTGGTTGATGCCAGGCATTACCTTTTGGTGGTAATTCTTCAGGTCCCTTGAGAAGGGACTAGATGGTCAGCAGCAGCCCAGACACATCCTGTGTCTCCCCAAGTGTATTCATAGGGTAAGTTGTGGTGAGGGGCTCCTGGCTGGGTTTGGTTTTCCCACATATCATGCACAGAAATCAGCATGCCATGCCCTGTTAAGACATTTGTAGGTGGTGGTAGTGGGTATAATACTCTCTACCCAGCTTTTCACATGTGTCAGACCACTATGAGAAATGACAGAGCTCTTATTCAAAAGCACATTAGTGAGTAAGTAGACTCCAGAGAGGGCAGAATTGCACTCGCCTTTTATCACGTTCACCAGTGGTGGGTCTGGACTCCAGCGCTGGGCAGTCCTTTCTGAAAGCCTGTGCTGGCAGAGAAAAGGCACTTTTCCTGAGGTAGAAGAGTTTCAGGCACTCCTGGCTCCAGATAGACTCTTTCTGGTAGAGTCAGTGTTTTGGAGAATAGGAGAGCATAGGGCCATCTTTCTTCAGCCATCTAGTTCTGTGTGACCGGTAAGTAAGGGCTAGTGCTGCGGAAACCTCAAGTGTACCCAGCTGCAAGCAAGGGATAAATAAGTGGTTAGTTAAAAGAAAAAGTCTTTCAGGTCTCAGTCTCATAGCTGGTTACCTCAGCATGTAGATAATGAGCAAAAATGTTCCCAGTACGCCCACTCACGTCCCTGTGTGTCATAGTGACTGGTGGTGACAAAATTCTAAGTAGACCCAGCTCTTAAGAAGGCAGTGTTATTCCCCTTACCTGTAGTTTGTTATTTTAGAAACTTTCTTCCAGAGAAAACTAGTAAGTGGTCAGGAAAATCCCAAGCAAAGGAATAAGACTCCTAACATGGAGCAGTGAAGGTGTTAAGGAAAGTTCAGTAAAACATTTCTATCTACTTTAATAAGAACTGTTGATCTGGAGGAAACTAGTCCGTGCATACTTACCAGTTTCTGAGCCAGACCTAGGTGAGGAGCCAGGCCATGCATCCCCACCGTCTAGAGAGGAGATGGGACCTCTACCGGGCTGGGCTAAAGGCCTGGGGCCACCCCACCCCTCCCCCACTTCCTGCAGGGCAGCCAGAGGCCCTGAAACACAGCACAGGAAAAGTTGGGTTGTCACACACAGCACGAGTTCATGTGTCTGACAAGATTCATGGTGGCTTCTTCAAAAAAAGGGGGGGGTGGTTATACTCTTTAGTAATAAAATGTTCTAAATGTATTGTTTCAGGATAATAAAAAGTCGCTCACAGCAGCGTAACTTCCAGCTTCTGGTAATCACTCACGATGAAGATTTTGTGGAGCTTTTAGGACGTTCTGAATATGTGGAGAAATTCTACAGGATTAAGAAGAACATTGATCAGTGCTCAGAGATTGTGAAATGCAGTGTTAGCTCCCTAGGGTCTTACGTTCATTAAAAATGTTCAAGATTTAAATGCCATAAGAAGCATAGGTCTTCAGGCAGCTACTTATTTCTGGTACTGAGTCAGTAAGAAAATATATTCTTTAAAAGGAACTTCATGTCTAGGACTTGGAATGTTTGAGAGGTTCTAAAATCATGAAAGTTGTTTCACATGAAATTTGGACTGATTTTTTGTTTCTGGTTCCCTGAACTTCTTCCCCCTCCAAGCAGCCTGCAAGGCTCAACAGAGCACAGTTGGACTCAGTTTCTCTGCTTCACTCCCCAGTACTGATGAATGATTCCTGCTCAAAGCACTGTAGAGAAGCAGGTTCTCACTGCCTTGACAATTTATGGTTTTGGTGTAAAAAACATCCATGTTAAATGTTACCTGTAGGGCCGGCCCAGTGGCGCACTGCTACAGTGCGCCGCTTGGGAGTGCAGCGGTGCTCCCGCCGAGGGTTCGGATCCCACATACAGGCCAGCTGCTCACTGGCTGAGCAAGGTGCGGGGGCAACACCAAGGGTTGTGATCCCGTTGCCGGTCCCAGTCTGGTACGGGCGCGACACTGAGGGTTGCGATCCGTTGCCGGTCAGGAAAAAAGACAAAAAGGAAAATAAATAAATAAATAAATGTTACCTGTAAATTTATTTCCTTGCATGTGGTTCAAAAAGAAAATGAGTTAGTGAGTATTAATATCTGAAGAGGATCAGAAATGATGAGATTTTAATATTTGGCTCTGCTCTTAACTTTATAAATCCATGCAAGTGACCTCTCACTCTGGAGCTTGGTTTCCCCAACTAAAATGTGAAGTAGTTGAATTGGGTCTCAAGGTTTGACAGGAACCTTTGGTAATCATCTAATTCCCACCATCTTTCCTCTGCCCACATCCCTGCCAGGTCGTCATCCTAAGTAGTCTCTATCTAGAGAGGAAGCTCCCCACTATGCACATCCACCTTTGGAGAGCTCTGATCAAGAGCAAGGCTTCCCTTCACTTGAAGCCTGATCTGCCCATCACAAAGAAGTCTGTAACACTCTCTTCTGTGTATCCTGTGTAACATCTTAGCCTCGCTATCAATCCCAGTTGTTCTCCAAGTGTGCATCCCAGTGTAGAAGGCGAGCCAGGTTCACTCACAAAGTCAAGACCTGCTCCCAGTGGGGTCCAACCAGACATGGAAGAGCAGGCCTCTCATTTTCATTCCAGACGCCATTTCTAATAAAAACCCAATCACACTTTTTTCTGGAATTGCCGGCTGACTTCTTGAAGCCTTTTGCAAACATTCTACACAGGTTGCAACCAAGTGATGCACTTTAGAATTACACTTTGTGGAGTTTTGTCATTCAGAGTTGGTCAGGACCATATTGGATCTCGATTCAGTCATGTGGCACAGTTTTATGCCATCTGCAGATCTACTGAGCACATTGTCTAGACAGCCTTTCTCGACCAGGGGCCAGAAGAGAATTAAGCCCAAAATCCTAAGGTATCTGTGCTAGGCTAAATAGTGGCCTGCAAAGATAAATTAGTGGTCCTAATTCCTGACACCTATGAATGTTACCTTATATGGCAAATGGGACTTTACAGATGTGATTAAAGCTAAGGATCATGAGATACAAAGATTATCCTGGTGGGTCCTAAATGTAACCACGACTAGCCTGATAAGAGGGAGGGTACATCGCAGAAAAGAAGGTGACGTGTTGATGGATGCAGATTGGAGTGACGGACTTTAAAAATTGAGGAAGGGGCATAAGTTGAGGAATACAAGCAACTGCTAGAAGGTGAAAAAAGCAAAGAAACAGATTTTCCCCTCAGAGCCTACAGAAGGAACCAGCCCTGCTACACCTTGACTTTAGCCCAACGAAACTGATTTCGGACTTCTGGCCTCTAGAACTATAAAAGAATAAATTTGTGTTGTTTTAAGCTGGCAAGTTAGTGGTAATTTATTACAGGAGCAGTAGGAAAAGAATACAGTTATCCTTTTCATCTAATCAATTTCTGTGCCTCTAAAATGATATTAGTTCTGTACTGTCCTTGAGAGAATTGAGAAAAGAATTACTTAAATCATTTTCTCTTTCTGTGCTTCATATGAAGAAGCCTGGTTGAGAAAAGTTAGTCCAATCCTCACCCAAGCCCTGGATGAAAGGGCCAAGCAACACAGCCACTGCTCCAGCCATCTGGTTCCTGTCCTCCCCAAGGCCCTTTCTCATCCTAATTAGCTTTAATAAACTGAAATAAGACTAGCATAGTCCTGACAAAGACATCATGAGAAAAAACAGCATGTCAATCTTACTCAGAGCACAGCTCCAGGAATTCCTAAATTAAGTAGGAGCAAATCAATTCTAGTCATGTATTAAAGTAAACATATACAATAACCAAGGTGTTTTTATTCTAAGAATGTTTCAGAAAATATTTCTGTTCATAAATTATAACCATAATAAAGCCAAAGGAGAAAAAATTCTGATGGACACCTAACTACATTTGATAAAATTCAACGTTTCCTACCTTTAGCAAACTCATAATTTTGCAAAGATTATTAATGTTATTTGTCGTCATGTCAAAATTAAAGTCATCTTAATAGCAAAAATGAAACATTTCTCACTAAATATTAAAACCATGTGTCTTATATCAACATGTTTCTGAAAGCTCTAGTCATTGCAACAAGGAATGACAAAAAAGGCAGTGCAAGATAAATATAAGCAGTGAGACAAAATTAACATTTACAAATTAAAACAGACTTCCCAATTGCAAATCTGGTTTCCCCTTGAGGACATGGGGTTTTTTGCAGCCCTTTGGAGAGTGGCTGCTTTCAGTCCTATTACCCTTGTATCAGTGGGCTTGAGGGTGGGATAGGTACCCTTCTCATTGCTGCTTCTAGATCATTCTCCCCTTCTCCATTTAATATCCGCCCTCCCCCACCCACCAGTGAATTCCCCCACACACACACTTGGAATGAATAGGCCTCACAGTGTGGAGGTTAAGAAGGAGCTTGACTGCCTGGTCTCAAATCCTAGCACCACCACTCACTAGCTGAGGGACCTGGAGCAAGTCATCTATCTTCTTTTGCTTTTGTTTCCTTACCTGTAAAAGTGGGTAGAATGATACCTATTATCTTGTTGGGTTGTTATGAAGATTAAATGACAATACTAATAAACTGCTTAGAGCTGCTTGGCACATAGTAAGGACTATGTAAGTGTTCAAGAAAAACCTTGTGTCTTCAGTTTACTCTTTCTTGCAGTTATCGTTAGCCCCAACCTGGTCACTCCTCTTTATTTTTTGAATATTTTAGGTCCTGGATCAATGTCACTCCAATACTAATTTTATGATTGTTGGTGATTTCAATATCTAAATGATGATCTAATACAACCCCCTGGCCTCTCAGTTCCTTGTTCTCTCCTCCAGTGAGAAGATATTCACTCCACAGACTTACTATAGAGCCCAGGCCTTTCAATAACAATAACTGCAGCCCTCCATGCTCTCAGTTTTAAGCATCTCACTCTCCAGCGACACCTTGCTATTTTTACAATTCACTCCTGGGGTCGTCAACCCCAGCAATTCTTTTGACCCTCTTACTATAGAGCCCAGGCCTTTCAATAACAATAACTGCAGCCCTCCATGCTCTCAGTTTTAAGCATCTCACTCTCCAGTGACACCTTGCTATTTTTACAATTCACTCCTGGGGTCGTCAACCCCAGCAATTCTTTTGACCCCACCAAGATTTCAATCCATTGATTCTACCACTTTTTCAGTTCTTCATGTCCTTCATGCCTTTATTTCTGTCCTTATACAGCTTAAATTCCATGGTCCATTATTATGTCACCCTCAACTGAGCTGCCCCTCCTCTGTCCTCAAACTTTCCTGGCAATCCCTAGCTCTGGTTAAATACAACTCTGCCTTCTCCCTGCATGTGCCATTTCCTTTGCTGGTTCTTCATTTCCCTGATGTTGTGATGTCGTAGTGCTTCAGTGTTCAGACTGAGTCTGCACCTCTTCTCTTCTCTACACTTGCTTGTTTGGTGATCTCATCCAGTCTCATAGCTTTAAAATGATTGTCTTAGTTTGGGTTCTCCCAGAAATAGAACCTGAAACAACACTTCAAGTGAAAGTAATCAGTAGGAGATTGGGGGAATTGTATGGGAAAGAAAAGGCAGCCAGTTAAGGGTGTATTGTTAAGCCAGCCACTGCAGGGGACTATCACAGCTTCATTCCACAGAGAAACTTTGGGAAATTTGGCAAAATATATGCTTCAGAATTATCCCACTTGAGGGGCAAGAGACATGGGATATTTATATACCAACTTCCCAGAGGTGACTGAGGGCTCTTCAGGCATGTGTTAGTTACTGGTTTGCCATGTGTACTAGCAGAACTGCTTTCCACAGTTTAAAAAAAAAAAAAAAAATCTGACAGAGATACAGATAATGGCAGCTGCTGGAGGTTGGCAGTAGCACATTGGCAATTCCAAGGGAATAGGCAGGGCACTGACAGCTCCCGTAACAACCATCTATGCGCTGATGACTAAATGTTTGTCTCCAGTCCACATCTCTTTTAAATTCCTGACATATTTGGCTGCCAGTGGACAGCTGGATATATGTCTGCATGTGAATATCTTAAAACAACCAAAACCAGTCTTTCCTCCAGAACCTGAACCTCCCATAGGCTTTCAATTAATGGCAACTCCATTCTCCCAATTGCTCAGGCAAAAATCTTGGCATCCTCCTTGATTCTTCTACTTATCTCACATCCAGTCCATCCGTTTATGGGTTCAACTGTCAAAATACATCCAGAATTTGACCGTCCCTCACCATCTGAACCAGCAATCTTTAACCTGAATAATCCGAGTAAACACCTAACTGCTCTCACTGGTACAGTCCTGCTCCCCACAGTTTGTTCTTAACACAGCAGCCAGTGATCTTTTTAAAAGGTAAATCAAGTAAAATGTTTCTCACAGGGGTGTGGGTTTAGCAATTCTAAAATTCAACAAACATATATTGTAGATAATAAGAACAGATTCGAAACTATTTTATGTATAAACTAAAATTCAACAAACATATATTGTAGATAATAAGAACAGATTCTCACTGTTGGAAAAAGATGATTGCATATCAAGAAAGGGGAAAGGCAATAAAAATAACCCTGTGGTGATGATTAAATCCAAAGTATCAGTATAAATTTGTGGTATAAATTTTG